CATGCTTTTAGTACTTTCACCTCAACATGTACGACCACATGCACCAGTACAACTGCAAACTGCTACTCAGGCACAACAACAACAATTGTACGTTCATACCTTGGCTTCCTTCAATTTCTCTTTCCAGCTGTTGTTTTGTCGGAAGTTGCATTTCCCAAAGCTGTAGTATTTGAATCAGTGTTTGAAGCTGTGATTTATTGCCTGTGCGGGTTGAATCCCTGATACCTTATTTAGTAAGTCCCTTTCTATCTTACTAAAACGGAGGGTTTCATTCATTCTGCTGCAGGACTGCTCACATGACTTATGTCAAACGTTATCAGATTTTTAAAAAAATCCTGTATCAAACGATTGTAAATTCTACAGGTAAGTATTTGCATATATGTTTGATGAAATCCTAAAGGTTAATTTGATTTCATAGGCTGAATCCACCTAGTGATCAGCAGCAAGGGCTCGATACATATAGGAAACATCTGATAGATTATGAAGAATGTAAGGAAGATGTACATAAATATTGCTTTCGTCCTGGAGTGGAATTGAAAAGTGATATGTCGGTATTGGAATGTCTTCAAGACGTTAAATTAAGCGAGACGGAAGTGCTTACTGCTGCATGTGAACATTTGGTTTGGGATTTCAAGGTAAGTTTAGTCATCAGATAGGCTCTAGAGTTGTTATCCAGGAGTGATATATGGTGGGAAAACATTACTCAGTCATTAAATTTTTATTGCAACTCAAGTCAAATTGAAACTTCAGGTAAATTTGACTCAAGATGATCAATTTCGGCAAGCGTCGAAACTTTATTGCAAAGACGAAATGGTAGTTAATTCAAACTTAGCTCAGTGTGCAGAAGTAACAGAACCAGGATATTCACTCTCATGTTTCATGAGTTTCATATTAAATTTACCGAAAGAGTCGAGTTGTTTCAAATTTTTAGGCAAGTTCGATCTTTTTTCTACTGGCTTGCAGAAATTTTTCTACTTCCAATTATCGATTTTTACTTCTAGAACTTTCATTACTTGTAATGAATACTTTACATCCGAATCTCCTTGTTACTCTAACTTCTGAATATAAAGGTTTCTCAATTCACTTGTAGTGCGAAGTCCTTAATTTTTTGCATTGGAAATGATGGGAATAAAATGTCTTACTTTGGATACGTCTCGAAAAAAATAGAGACCACTGATTTCTGCTGTCAGTTTAGATCGTTCTGCCAGACTTGCATTCTCTGACTTTCGTGTTGTTGGTCCATTTGTGGCGGTATGTAAAAGTACAATCCAGCGACTTCAATGTGGGACATTAACTCCACCATCTGCCCATGCTAAAGCTCGAGTTCCACATTCCCAAGGTATGCTTTTCTTTTCGTAACTATTATTCAATTTTATCGAAGAATATTTTATATGCCAATAGTTGTCGTTAAAAGATCATCGCTATTTTGGTTTATTCACGAGATATTAAATTATTGGTTTGCAGGGCATACATTGGAATGTTTGATAAGCAAAATCTATCGAGCACCGCAAAAAGATCCTGGGGCAACGCCAGTAGTTGACGAAGCGTGTCAGCACGAAATCATGCGAATAGCTGAATTACAAACGGAAGATTTCCACCTCGATAGGCCGCTTTATTTTGCTTGTCGGGAAGATCGAGAGGTGATATGAGCTGTTTCAGTCTTTGCATACTTTCATTCATTCCACTTCAGCTTATACCTTATTACATTGTTTAAGTTCATTCTGTAAAACAATTTTTTAAGAAATTTTGCAAAACTGTCCAATCAGGACAGGGAAAAGTACTCGAATGTTTGCTTACTCATCGGACAGATCCAATGATGGAGCCAGAAGTATGTTTCTTTAATTGTTTTTCAAGAAGAGATAAAAAACTTGATATTAATTAGTAAATGATCGGAAATTTTTGTATCATTTTTATACTGATATTAGTTAAATTTAACGCTGTTTGTATACCAAATTAATTGGGGATGTACTTGTTTTATCACTCCATCAGATATTTTATCGTTTAGCAACTTATGTTTCTTCTCGTTCATACCATTGAGTTAGCTTATAACTGATACTGTAGTAGAAATGCTTTGTTACAGTGTTCAAAGCTTTTGGCTGAACGAGCTAACATGATGGGGCAAAACTATCGATTATCACATCCATTGCTCAGTGGTTGTGCAATAGAACTGAAAGAGTTCAGTTGTGCTCCGTCGGCATTATTTTCGGGCTCTCCAAATTTTCATTTAAGTTGGGTGCTTCTGTGTCTGGAAAATGCGGCACATGCAAATCCGGGCAAAGTATCCAAAAAATGTCAACATGAAATGGTTTCACATCGTAAAATGATGTTGAGTGAATTTCGATTAAGTCCAGAAGTTGTTTTAACCTGTGGCAGAGTAAGTTATGAAGTTTTTTTCGCCTTGCTTTTTTGGAGATATTTTAAAATTGATTTCAAAACTTCAATCTGCGGTAAACTTTCCAAATTATTTGTTTCAACCCTCACAACAACTGCACTCTTTGAAAGCCTCACATTAATAATCATCCACTTGTACAGGAAATCGATATGTTCTGCAGTGAAAAGGGTGATATTGAGGCGGAAGGTCGAACTATGCACTGTTTATTGAGTCATGCACAAGAACGTAATGAAAACCAGAGACTTGGTCCGCAATGCATGCAAGCTTTGCAAACTGTTATGAAGGTTACTTTTTTTTGTTAGCTATTTGTTAACCCTCTATACTCTTAGTTTTCAATGTGATCAAAATAAATGCTTAACAGATCTTTGTTTTTAGGATCACTGACACTAGTTAGTGATCCAAAAACAAAGATTTATTTATTTATTTGTTAGTCTACAGTAATTTCTTCATGATCTAATTTGTTTATTGGCAGGTCGTCGATGTTGGTTCGAATTACAAAGTGGATGAAGTTTTGTATGCCAGCTGCAAAAGATTAATTGATGGTAAGTTTGTCAATATGTGCCCAACTTCAACGCATCTTTCAGCGACAAAATGTTATTATAAAAATGACAAAATGTTATTATATTCTTGACCAAACGCAGAAAATGATCGCAGGCGATACTTTTCGAAGTCAGAATTATCGAAATTGCAAACTTTAGCTGTTGCTTTAACTGTTAATTTTAGCTATTGCTGTTGTTTCTGATCATCTTCTGTCCAGACGGGATTTGCAAGAAATGGCAGGAATACTTACATTTGCAGTGTTTTTCGTTTTTTAATGAAATTCGAGATTTTGTTAAGTAGATATAGTATTTGTTCTAGTATAACTCTTAAATCGTTCCATTGTGCCTAATGGTTATACCCAGGTCCATGTGCAATGGATGCTCAATCGGAAGCGAACACTTTGAACTGTTTGATGAAACATATGGATATTGACATGCCAAAAGAATGTGAGCAACGGCTTTTAGAAGTGCAGTACTTTATCTCTCGTGATTGGCAACTCGATCCGCAACTTTATTTAGCATGCCATGAAGATGCTGTTTCCAAGTAACATTTAATATTTATGTTGCGCAGTTTTGAACTACAATGCCATTTCCCATTTTTTCGATACTTATTATAGAGCAAGAAGCGGCTTTCGCTTTGATTTATAATTTTTTGAATCGTTTTTAAGATGCTCTGCTAATGCTAACTGGCATCAGCAACCGATTCAACAAGGACCAGATCCTGGACCAATCGTACTTGCATGTCTCTATCGTGCAGCCTACAACGATCAGAATCCGGCAAATTTTCTGCTTTTCTGCTTTCTTTGCTCTAGCCAGTTTATTATCCATGCCTTATATAAAGCTTTGAACTACTTCTCTATTGCTTTTAAATGTAAACTTTTCCTTCTGTAGCTCAAGCCGGAATGTGCCACAAATGTGCGTCGTGCGTTGCGTACTCGTGCAGTGCGTGTAAATTTGATGCCAGATATCGAATCTTATTGTCGAGAGGCTTTGTCAGAGTTCTGTTCTACCGATGTGAAACCCACACAGGTATGCATCTTAGAAATCTTTTTTTGAAAAGAATCTAATAGTTTGTGGTAAAGGTGATAAAGGTGAGGTAAAAGTGGACTTAAATTAGGCCTACTAGGATATATTATACGGATTTTGTAGTCATTAAAAGTGCAGGTTGCTGATAACAAAAGCATTGTAAAGATATACAGCAAAAATTGTTGGAATAGTTCGATATCTTTATCATCATTGTCAGTCTAATTAACGGTTCCATTGAATGCGACAACTTCAAATAGTAGGATTAGTAGCAATGATGTTTGTCTTTTTCTGGCTTGGAATTATCTTACAACCAGCAGAATTTTTGCACAGCTAGGCAGTCTTCTTTGCCTTGATGGTCATAACCGATTTTAAGTTATTGTTTAAATAATTTTATTAATTTACAAACTTCCAAAAGGAATGAAAGGTCCGAAGTAACATCCTACTCTCTTCAGGAAATGAGGTGTTTGCAAGAATATTTCCAGCTAGATAAGTTCAAAAAAAGTATGGTGAATGTTCCGCAGCTGTAAGCGATTATACGAAAATGATGGCTAAAGATACTGCTCTGAATCAAGCGCTTACAAAAGCTTGCAGACCTGTCATTTCGAAATATTGCCAGGTTTCATTTACGAATAAAGAAGATTGTCGACTTTTTTAATGTTCTTTCTGTTGTTCGTCGTCGGAGTAGTTGGGCACTGAGTTCTATGTATAATGAAGCTTAGTAAGGGCTACATGTCTGGGCAGACATTCAACTGTGGACGTTAAACACATCCGGATCATATTTTCTAATCCGACAAATTTTTTCCTAATCTGTGGAGACTAAATCCTGTTACGCTCAAATCAAACTACTCATCTTTTTTGAATTCACTGCAGTGTAAGTGGTGGTACTCTTTATTCAAATAAGTTTCGTATTTCAGCAATACATTAATGAAGAGATTGATCATGGCGATGTATTGGAATGTTTGTTGGATAACAAAGGCCGGCCAGAAATGACTTCCAAATGTCGTTCATATGTTAATCATTTTGAGCTTATTACTTTGCGCGACTTCAAATTCGATGAGCGTTTTGCACAGTATTGTTCGAATGACATCAAGAAATATTGCACGGAAGTTAGCACCGACAAGTAATTCTTTTTTTCATAAACTTCTTTAATTGTAGTAAAGGTTTCCAGATCCTATGCACAAAATAAAAATACTTTAATTTTCTCAATTTTTGATGCACATTTTGAATTTGATTTTCAAGTAGTTTAAAGTTCATCCTTTCGAATTTAAGTATGCACCATGCTGAAGCAATATATATCAAATTATGAATTCCATTATTCGTTTTTTGTTGATTATTCCAGTATTGAGGAATACATCTAGCGCTGTAGATATGGGAGATTTTCCGCTGCTCTGAAGTAAACAATGTAATGAGATTTAAAATGAGATTTACATTTACAAACGATATCATTCTTTATTAAACGATGGTAGCTTCAATGGAAAAGTATGCAATGTAAAGCACAGAATCAATATTAGCTCGTTGATTGTTCCATTTCCGATAAATTCTTTAGGGCAGACATAATTCGTTGTTTGTCAACAGTTATGTTTGAACACAAAGTGCTGGGAACACCAGATGACCTGGAAAAAGATTGTAAAAAATATTTGAAGGCTGCATATCTTCATCAAGAACAGGTGAATGTGAGTGTTTTTGATTTTAACTTTTACTGGTTCTTATGCGTTCACTGCAATTTTTCTGATGAACTTTCAGATTTCATTAATTTGTAAAGGCTCATTATTGGTGTTTTGTTGCTTTGTGCTTTGTACCTTCAATATTTCAGAAAGCGGGCAGTGAATCATGCACTTGTTTAGGTTTTTTCAATTTTTATTTACACGTTTAATCCCAAGTGTTCCTTCTATAAAGGTTCAAAAATAATAGAATTTAAATGTTTGGAGGGCAAAATTTGGTTGGATCTTATATCACTTAGCAAATCTGCATGGTGCCCGTAACACTGTTAACGACTCTGTAGGTTACACATATTTTCTAAGAAGAGTTACACCGTTTAATCTTTCTAATGGTTCAGTCTTTTTTAATTCATGAATCTACTTTTTGATTACAATTCAATCTTAAAATTTTATCTCACATTTGTAAAGAAACAGTTTTGTACACTCACGCTTCATTAAATAATCAATGGAAAAAACTTATGAGAACTGGGATGTTTATCTCCTTAGCTGTTTTTATTCAATGTCTTATTCTGTTTTTGTTATTACGATGCATGGCAAGTGGATGTTTGCATGGTTTCATTGTTTCTCCTCAGATTTTGAAAGTAGCAGTAATTACTAATGTGCTTGCAGTTCGAAGATAAGTCACATATGTTGGATGCTGATCCTACGTTGATGAAGAAATGTAGCCAAGAATTGGATCGATTAGGTTGCCGACAAGAAAAATATTTTGAAGATGTGGTTGAATGTCTACGTTCAAAATATGATGAACTAGGTAAGGCTCTCTAATGCTGGTCATTGTAAATGAAACCATAATTGTATGGACTTCTGTATTATGAAAAATAATTTAGTTTGACGTTTTTATATCTCATGCACTTTTTTGGTTACTTTTTTCCAAGGTAGTGCGAAGTTTTTCTCCTGAATTTTGCGGTAACGTATTTCTACAGAGCACCGGACAACAAAACATAATTGAAAAATGTGGTTCTCAGATTACTGGTCATCATTAGCAAAAGGCATAAAAAATTCAGAAAATCCAGTATTTACTTTTTCATGGTATTTAAATGCTTTGCAAAGGTAGAATATGTTAATGGAATGGATAAATTTTGCCATCATCGCTGACTGTCATGTAACAGTATTTGGACAGCTTTGCAGGGTTAGAGTGTAAAGCAGTTGTTTTTACACGGGAGAAAATCGAAGCAATGGATAATCAATTCGATGATGAGCTTCAGGTGAAATTTATGTTTTTGTCACAAATATTTTTAACAGTTATTTTACTGTTGCTTTAATTTAATTTGAACCATTCACACCTTTGTGTACCTTTCACTTTATTCAAATTAGAAAGTCTTTTCAGCATCATTGTCGCGCAGACATAGACAAATATTGTCATGCAGAAGAAGGTGATAGGGTGCTGGAATGTTTGAAAAATATGAAGATCGTGCGTTCTTTGTCATCAAAATGCCAAAAAGTAAGTGATTTAGAATGCACTATAGAACTTCTCTGAGTGGTGGCTGTTTTTTAGATTGTGTGGCAAAGGATGCGAGAGCAAGCTAAAGATGCGCGCTTGAATATTGGTCTTTTGGAAGCTTGTAGAGAAGAGGCCGAACAGTAGTAAGTTTCTTCATTGTTTAATTTTTTCGATTCCAGGTTCATACTTAGTTACTCACTCAGCTGATTTATGCCAATTTGTTCTCGAATTTCCCGGTCTGTTTTGGAATTCCGTTTCATATCCGTAATATAGATGGA